GAATTTTTTTTCTTATGCTGAAAAAGTGGAAGGCCATATGCAAATAGGCTTGCTTATTTGTTTGAAGACTTATCTGCATTGGAGTTTTTCTAACCTCAAAGTGGTATTCTAAAAGAAGTGTTTATTGACAAGAACAACAAGCAATCCACATTTTTCAGTTTAACTTATTAAAAAAGGTAGTATCAAGAAATATGAAGCAAAAATGTGTTTGCCTTTCTGTCTCTTTTCTAATTCATGGGGAAAAAAGTCACACTGACATAGGAGCAGTTAAAAGCTGTTATTCTCAGAGTCGTTGATTTGTCAGTCTGGGAAGTACTGCATTACTGAAAGCAGTAGCTCTATGTGTGTCACCAGCTTTGCATTTTTGGAATATTATTATTTATATTCTTTTTGCAGAAGTCTTGTTAGCTCTATGGTGAGTTAGCACTGGCCATGTAAGTTGATCTGTACACACACTCCCTGTTGGGATTTACATTTACATGTTAGCAATGCCTGTTGCTAACAGGAAAGCCAAGGCAATAGGTATTGCTCTCTCTTAATTGGAGTATGCTGAATTTCTGACACTTGTGTATAATAGGGATCAAAACTCAGTGTAGGACAGATTTGCCAGGGCTCTCTATTTCCACAATCTATTGCTTTTTTTGTGTTATTTTGGAGGCGGTAAAGGAGATGGGGAACAGAAGGGATCAGTGACACTGCTAAAGATGCTTCTCCAAAGACTGTTTTAAAAATTCCCTCTGCTGACAGGGGAACAAGAGGCTGGGAAGTACCAGTGAGCCTTGCTCTTTGTACCACAGTCCTGACAATCTGCACCAACATCATGTTGCTGTGGATAGTGGTTCCTCTGTAAACTATTCATTTGCTGCTGAGAGCATCAGTCAGAGCAAGGATGGGTTTCTTCAATATACATGTTAAGCAACACTGCATGGCAAATTTTCTTAGGATGTACTGTCCTTAGAGGGTTACTAAATTGCTTCCCTGATTAAAAATCAAATCAAACATTTTTTTATATCTGCTCTTTTGTGGAAAAATAGAAGTGTTCTCCCAGTACAGACCTTGACATAAGGCTGAGACATAAATATCTCTGGTATATATCAACCTGAGGATCACAATAAGGACCTCATGCTTCCTCTTTTCAAGCCAACAGAAAAGTTTTTATTTTAGCATGCTTTTGTACCTACAAAGTATTTTTCCATATTCTGATTTCAATAATTTTGCAGGTAATGTGCTCAAGATTTAAATGGCTTCGCCTCAAAAATAAATTCAGAAGAGAAATATTGTTAGAAGGATGATTTATTTCCTTTGGCTTATACTAAATTAAGATAGTATGAGTCAAATTCTAGAAGAACAAATGTTATATCTGCACCTTGGTCATACTTCTTATTAAATTATAAATAGTTTAAAAATGGTTGGTTAATACTTCAAAAGTTTAGTATATTGTTATGAGGACAACCGTGTATGTTCCAGGCAGTTAGATCAAACATGTCACTAAATGGTTAGTTAATTGCTAATGAGTGTCTTGAAATTAAAGTATTTTTAAAATAAAATTTTAAATAAATAAGCCTTTTAAGTGCAAGCATTATATAGGGAGGAACAGGAGGCACTGAATAACTAACACAGAATATTTCAAATATCTCAGTTCGCAGTTGAACAGCAATGCATTTAATTTCTACATTACTTTAAAATCAAAGGCATTTTGGGTAAAAAGAATGATGAGAATGAATCTCAGATATACAAAAGTAAATATGATATTCATATTCTCCATTCCCCCAAAAAAGAGAAAGTGTCTTCTTTATCTTATCTTCTTCTCTATCTTTGGTATGGCTGCAAGGAAAAATGGCATAACTTTTCCTTTTGAACTACAAAAAACATTTTGAAAAAAATGCTTTAATACCAGGGGAATGTATGAGAGGCAACGTCTAACCCCCTAGGACCAAGTTCATGGTTCATAATCCTATAAGTATGGCTGATGCCTGAGCCTGCTCAGAAAAAGCTTGACAAAAATCCTGCCCTATTTCTGCATGTAGTTATCATGAAGACTGAGATAAACACTTAATTAAGGACCAGATTTAATGTCTGAAATGTATGGCAACTTATTAATCATTTAGGGACAGGTGATCAGTGTGCTCTTTAAAGAGATGGCTAATATTTAGAGGAAGCCTCCTTTTGCATAGTGGCCAAGAGATTAGAGTTCATATGCAGAACCAGGAATCCTGGTCTCAGCATCATCCTCAACTCCTTTAGCCTCCCTGAGAATGCCTTCCCCACTGGAGTGCCCAGACTCCACCTCAAGCCCCATCCCTTGGCACATCACAGTGTTTTGTAGGGCTATGATTAGTTCTGTACAAATATTCCCTCTTCAGCACAACTCCAACCTTGGATTTCTGACCTCAAAGCTGCCTGTGGATTTTGGGTTAGGGAGCAGCTGGAAGGGAGCCTCCCAGGGCAGTGCTTCTGGGAGGGACCTGAGTCCTGCTCCCTTTCCTGTGCTATCTCTGTAGCCCAGTGAATTGTGCATTCCTTCCCGTGCAGTGGCACAGCTTCAGCGACGACTCCCACTGCAGTTTTGCATGCAGCCTGGTTGCTAGGATATGGCAGCTCTGAGTTCAGGTCCCCTCCTCACCACAGCCAGCAGAGACCCTGCAGCTCAATTTTTCCGCCTCTTCGCCACGTACAGAGACAAGTAGCCAGAAGTCTGGTCTCCCACTTCTTGGCCATGTGCTCCAAAACACGTGGGCTGGTGTGCACCATGGTGCACCAAGCTCCCCTGCTGCATCCTCCAGCCAGGCTCTGCCTTCTGGGCTCTGCCAGGAGCTCAGTGCATCTGTTCTGCAAGAGACTTCCAGCCAGGGCTTCAGTGCCCTGACTAGAGGGGCTCTGGAGGACACGTAAATCCAGCAAATCTGTGGGTTCCAGACAGCGAGGATAAAGAGACCAATCCTAAGATCTCTGCAACTTCTATAAGAGTTAGTCCCATTTGCACTGTACCCCTTGAACACAGTTTGGTCCTTGATAGTTTTGCAGAAGTTCTGCAGTTGAGCTCTGTGAAAAAAAATGAGGCTCTGAGTGAGTCTATGGCAGGAAGTATCATTTAGACATAAGGAGGCAGAACATCTGAGTCTTGAGAGTGCTAAAATTTTGCATGATGAATTAAGCTTATGTAGCCAAGATAAAAACTTACTATGTAGCTTATGAATATTCTCTGAGAAAATAATATATTTTATCTCATAAGAGATATCAATGACCTTTGGAGATAAAAGATAAATTATATTAAAGTTGAATTCCTGGCAAAAATGCATTGCAATTCTGGCCGTTTGTTTAAGATTATTATTACTTAAGAAAATGCTTAGGAGCTCATTTTGGCCAACTCTCTTAAAAACATAAAGTGTTGCCTTAGCTCATAATACTGCCCAAGAGGCCCCATTCTTATTGTTTATGGAATTAATTATCTAATGGTCCAGTGTTCCATATTAAATATTAAAATTTCTTTTAATAGTGTATATCTCTTTTCCTGAGTTATCTCAGCTGTGCTTCAGGTGAAAGTCTCTTTCACCAAAAAATACCTGCAATACAGGGATGTCTTTATCTAAGAAAAGTTGTCTTTTTGAGAAGTGGAACCAACAATTGCTCTTAATGCATAAAGGATTCACAACCCTTTTTACTTCAACATAGAGACTGGACACTCATGGACTATTTGATCTCTCTAAGAAAAAACTGTAAAAAAGGTTTCAGATATTTTATAGAATTCTTTATAAGTTTGAAATATTTATGAGCCATAAAAGAGTTGCGCAGCAGAGATATACATTAAATAGAAAAAAATCTTACACAAAGGGGCAGTAATTTTAGCAGATTTTTTTTTCAGTTAACTACTTGAAAAGATCCTTTAAAAAGAGAACTTCCATTAATCCATTTTATTTGAAAACACTGAAATATGTTTTCATCAGATGAGAGTGTAAAATCAAACACATAAAAAAAGTCGAGAAACAAAGAAAATGTTTGAATACATACAGATGAGATTAGATTTTGTGTCACTGAGGTCCCTGTGGCAAGATAAGCAGACACACACTGATAGTTTTTCTGGTTTCCAACTACTAAAATGCATTAAATCTTCTCTTAATGCTTTTCTTTATTTCACCTGTGTCATTAATAACGCTGCTACTGCAGCATTCTGTGATCATGAGTAGAGGTGAGGTACTCTAAGCAGTAGATAGAATAAGTACAGATGGGGAATAATACACTTTCACCTGTAGCATCTCCTTTCAGGGAAAACTGAAGGGCTGTTGTGCTAATTTCTGTTAAATATTATGCAATCATCAAAGAGACAAACAGGAAGCATTGAGGAAAATTCATGGTGTACAAACAGACACTGCTGTTGCACAGATAACAACAGTATTCAGGTCACTTTTGTGGAGACATCTCTATGGCCTTTGTGTGGAAGGACACTCAGTCATACTTCTCCAAACGTAGGAATGCAGTTTTATTCCATTCCTCTATTCCTTTTGTCATTTCTAAGACTGATACATCAAAGTAAGTAGATGGTAGATGGTGCATTCTGTCTTGGTTTGTCTTATCAAGAAATATATGATTCTCTGACTTGTAAGAGTCACTCCAATACTCAGGAAATGGCTGTTTCCTATCCTTTCCCATTATTCTGGAAAGAGTTGAGTTTTGAAGAAGACTGTGGGCTCTTTGGGGTGAGAGGGTACATGTTCTCCTTTGAGAATCAGTATGGCTGGTTTGTGAAGCACAAATAAATGAATATTCTCAGATTTTTAGGAAACCTGGATTCTTTCTTATCTCCATTGTTTCTTTTATCCTCATATTCAGTTTCTGAATATGAGAATATATTTTATTCTCATATTCAGAAACACATCCGTGCTTGTTTAACATGCATTATACTTTTGTGAAAGCAATAGATGTAGAATCTTAACAATGGAAAAGACCTTCACAGGCAAGGTGAAATGTAACCATAATTCCAAACCTTTTCTTGCTTTTTGCAGGATGAGGCTGCTCCAGCTGACAAGCAGTGCAAACAAGAGCCAGCCCAGGTCACTTACTCAACATCAGCTGTTTCCAGCACACAGGAGGTGTTGTACATCAACGGCAATGGGACCTACAGTTACCATAGTTACAGAGGGCTCGGAGGTGGGCTGCTAAATCTCAATGATGCTTCTAGTAGTGGTGAGTTTTCTTACAAACTGTGGCTGTATGTATATGTGCTGATGGGTATTTCCCCCTGCTGTACAGAAAGCTAGTCCATGGGGTTCAATAGCCATAGACTATTATCACATAATGAGCAGCAGCACAATCCTGCAAACAGCTACTGCTGAGCAAAATATGTGCTCCCTGCATGCTAGTCTCTCTCCACCTTCAAGGGACTAATACACAATAGGGTAAGACTGAACCATAAGCCTCCAACAAAGCTAAGTAAAAAAATGCCAGGTTAGATCTTCAGTCTGTTTGCATAACTTTATAGGACCTTATCATGTAGGAGAGTCCTCTTCTACACTGATCACAAAAGGGGTACATTTAGTACATTTTTGGCTCAAGTTTCAAAACACTCAACTCCATATTGTGTAACACAGAAGAATTGACATAGATTTGTCACATGGTGTCACCAGCTACTTCAATTTACTGCAGATAAGGATCTGGCTTACCAAGTGTTAAATGAGAAATCAGCATATTCATCTATACCCTGCACTAAAAATGATATGGTAAATATGTGTCACCATGAGGTTGTATGTCCCTCTGACAAAAACAAGTGGTGTCATTCACTTAGACAACATTCATTTCTTCTTACATTGGCATGCTTTTGTAACACAAAAATGTAAGCAAATTGTAGTATCTGTTTGAAATTATCCCTCATATTGATTTTGTACAAATGCAGAGGAATACCCTTCTGATAAAAAGGGTATTGTCTCTCTGTCAGAGAAATGTGATTCCTCTGGAAGCCTGAGGTTTTATTGACTCCCAGGACTGTATTTAAAGAAATGTCTGAGAGGATGGAGAAATCCCTGGGGTTTTGCTCTGGCTGATCCCTCTCTGGCAGGTGAGAGTGCCAGTTCAGGTAGAGGGTCTGACTTAAGCTAGATGATAATTGCTCAGCTACAGCCTCTACATTTGGCATGCTCGGCACTTTTCAAAATACTATCAGGGCTGCAGCCTGCAAGGAGTTATTGGAATGTTGTATGCTGAGGACCTTCAGTCACATCTTCTTCCTCACCCCCTGCCTGCAAAATTCTCAAAGGTCTGTGGATGATTTGTGCTAAGTTTCGAATTTCTGTAAATAGGTAATACTTTAGTTGTCAAAAGTCTTTGACTGTGTGAATGATGATTACAATTGTTTCCATACATAAGAAGAGCACATCTGAGGCACTGAATATGGTCTCTGATCAAATATTTTCATAACAGTAAGACAAGCCATGGAAATCTGGGTTTGTTTGTGAAAATGCACAAGAACTTTAAAATCGTCTTTTACATTATGCCCAGAGAGGATCTGAACCAGTTCCCACTGAAAACAGTTGGCATTTGCTCTTTTACCCAGCTAAGAGGAGGATTAGCTCCCCATGTGTTATTTGTCAGCAAAAGCCATCAATATTGTCCTGGTTTATATAATCTTAAACTGTGAGGAATCACAACTGTTTTGTGTACTTGTTTTTCCCTTCAAACTTCTTGTAATAGGATACATTTTCATAACTAGCATTTTGCAGTGACTTGTGGGGTTTAGACAAAAGTATTCTATGTCGCTTCAGCATGCAATTTTAAAAAATGATGTACAAAGTAAATGCCACCAATTCATCTTGCCTTCTGATTAGAAGCCACATCTTCTTTGTGCCTTTAAAATAGAGGACTCCAGTGTTTTTTTCACAATTAAAGCTCAAGACAGGTTTGTGTACAGACATATTCTCAAACATTTCTTCTTTTTTGCCTTTCCCTATTTGCACTGGACAATTTTGTCTGTATATCCTTTTACTTTGAAAAACCATTAAGCCATTGCACTTGTCCCATATGGTTATACAGTTGGAAGGTTGTGAAAAGGTGGTCGTCTTCTCCACAGATCCTACACAAGCCAAACTCCATAAGCTCTGGGAACCAAAAGTCTTTGTGTGCCAGGACTTGGAAACCAGTTGTTGATGCTGACAGTCTAGTTAGGTTGGTGATTTGTGATCCACTTGCCATTTTGGGGAGATCATTAGGAAAGTTGTAGAAAGGCAACTCCGTCCATTCCTTAGTCTCACTGACATAAAACCAGTCAAGAACCAACCTAATTATCTCTCGGATATTAAGAGTAAATTGCTCTGGCTCTGGTAGCTGATTTCCCCACAGGAGAAGTGAGGGGACTTGGAGGCCAGTGTGATCTGTCAGTCCTCTCTGATGTGTCCATTGGTAGACAAGAGCAGTGGTTGGAGTTGCAGCTGACAGGGTCCTGACAGACCTCATAGGACCCTTGGCTGCAGTCATTATGCTGTTTTGACTCTTGTTCCAAACATATGCAAGGCTGTTAAAATAGTTAATGAGATACTTCTTTGGAGAACAGGATATTTACTTGTGAATTGCTTTCAGGAGGTAAGAACTAATTTAAAAATGCAATTCCTTTCCAATATAGTAACTTATCAAATGTTCTTGTCACGTTTACAGATGTTCTCCTAGTGTAAAAACAAATATGCACCTCAGTCAGAATGTGTGTATAAACAAATAAGGTCTGGGTTTTTTTTGTATCTGCTAAAACAACAACAACAAAAAAAAAGTTGCAATAGCTGCAATAGCTATCTAAAACTCACTGCTTGGTTACCTATTTCTGGACCTTCCCCCACAGTAATATAATAATTAATGTCCAATTAACTCTCTGTCTAGTAGTCCAGCTGATGTATGTATTTTGTATTCTGTGACTCATTTAATTTGGCTATTTCCTCCATATAAAGTTCACCCCTACTCTGACCTTACAGACTTAGCTATCTGTTCGCCCAACTGTTTGGTGGCTCTGGCTCAGGGACCTGTCTCTGCCTGCTGTTGCAGGGCTTCCCTCCTCATGGGGAGGTCAGTCCTTCCACATGGCTAATTACAGAGCCATAATTAGATCCTCACACAACTGCATGGCAAGCCTTCATGAAACTGCTCAATATGAGCAAACAGAATGTAGCAGCTTGTGCAATGACGCCTCCTTTATTATGGGCTGGCAAAAAAGCACAGACGGAAAAGACTTGGTCTTACAGCACCAAGGTGTCTGTTCCCCCTCCTTTTAAACTTTTTTAGGCCAATCCAGCTAGGCTGGAAATATTCACCAAGCAATCTGTGGGTTCACAGAATCTCTGTCAGCCTGTACATGGGCTGGGGAGAAGCTTTTGGTCATGTTGTATTTGATTCATTTAGATCGTAAAGTAGAGCTATTCTTTGAGAAGGGCGAATTTCCACAGCTCCCTTTTTTTTCGAGCTGTAACAGCCTTTTTTAAGGCTGTTACATTCTGTTCCTGTTACAGAACTGAATGGAGAATCTCCAAGGTGCAATAGCTCAGTGAATGTAAACAATCTTTCCTGACAGCTCTTAGCCAGCCACAAAGGCTTCAGCTGTCCCCTTTCTGTCATTCCTTGACTGGGCTCAGAAAAGTGTCCAGCTTGAGGGCAGGAGGGTGAGGACAGGAGATAATGTTGGGAGCAAAAGCTGTTGATACCACCAGGAGCTGTTGAAGTACCTGTATGAAGCCTAAGCGTCCCCTGAGGGAGTGGGATTGGCTTGTCTCCCATGTATTTCAGTCCAGTGGGTTGCTGTCTGCCCTCTCCTGATGACTCTCAGCACTCTCTGAAGTCATGTTGGGCTCCTTGGAGTCATGGTCTTTGCAGTTGCTTCATTTCCTGAAGTCCATTTTCTCTAAAAGTTGTGGAAGGTGTTTCTGCTGCCATAGCTGGGTTGCCTGGAGGTGATTTGGGACTGTTTGTTTTGCATTGGCTGGTTTTCTAGCCAGAAATGTCAGTCAGTTCCTTTTGTGTGTGTAAAAAGAAGGCGTTTCAGACTCGGTGTTGGGCTGGCCATGCTGGATATGCTCTCATGTCACAGTAAGACAGTGTTGTGTCTCCATTTCTCTCCACAGATCTGCAGCCTACCTCTACCACAGCCACAACTCAGCACTGCATCCCAGGCACCACGAACGTCCAGTCCCCTTCCAGCTCAGGTGAGTTCTTTGGCTGTATCCCATTATGTTGGCACTATGGCAAATCCTGGCCCTGGCAGGCTTCTCTTTCAGCCTCCTCTCCCATGGGTAGGCTGCAGACCACGATGGGCTAATGGCCCAGCTGGTAGCTGAGGGTCTTCCCCCACACTGCTCACCCCTCCCTGCTGCTCCCTTCCAGAGGCTATGCCCTCCCAGCTCTTCCCTGCTTTAGCCAGGCCCCCTACCCATGTGCCAGTCAGCCTGCATCCTGGTCCTGCAGATGATGCAGCCCTGCTGAAGACAACAGGGTAGCTGCAGGAGCCTCCCAGAGCAGGTGCGGCTGACCTCCAAGGACCAGCACGACTGATCTGCAGCAGGAAGAGATGAACTGAGCACTCTTGTCCTCTTGTTAATGAGACAGCAGGGAAGGAAGGTGCCTCCTTTCCACATTGAAAAATTTGGTCAAGTTGTAACACTCTTTAAAATCTTGGCACTCGTCACGATTGATGGTGGTGATAAACTTGGTGATATTCTTGGTGGCAAACTAGGGGAAAAAACGGACAGATGAGAATATCCAATACGTAGCTAGTTTTTAAAGTGCTGTGTGGGTTACTCACAGGTTGGCTAGACAGGATATACAGGTTGAATGGGGTTTCTGCTGTGGCTCCTCTCTCCAGGTCATCTTTATACTTCTGCTCTGGCACAGTCTTGTGTTCTCAGTGCTACCCTGGTGACATCAAAGTGGAGAGAGGGGAAAGAGACAGTTTGTCTCTAACACAGAGCCTGGAGCATGAAGAAACAAATCAAGAGTGATAGATGCAGGAACCTGGGACAGTATGTTTAATCCCATTAAAAAACCCAAAAGGTGGGGTTGGAAGAAGTTAAATGGTTTGACCTGTATTTTGGCAAAAGGGAATTTCTTGCTGGAAAATGCTGGCTGAATTTTCTGTTAAGACCTTCCCCACATTCCTCTTCCTCCTTCCTCATCATCTTCAAATTGTCAGACACGTGGCACAGGCAAGTACTACTCCGTTCCCACCGCAGGGATGGAAATGGAATGTCTCTGGATGTATTGTGCAGTATCCTACATTCCTACCTCTGTGCAAAGCTGAGGCGACAACTGTTAAGGCAACACAGTATACACCACATAATTAATGTCCTGTGGTGGATAGGAAGGATCTCATATAATCATTTAATCACAGACCACTGTGTCTCTTGATCACTGAAAATGAATGATGGCTGTAGGCATTTCTGCGTTTTTCATATCACTTTCCTCAGGCAAGACAGCATTTTTTCCTGCTGTCTAAAGTAGCAGAAGATGTGTCTTCCAGAGGGAGAGGTGTAAAAGGGAGAAAGGAGCTTAAAAGCTCCAACTCATCAGTCCTTGTTTTCTTGATTTCTCCTGGCACTTGAAATAATACTTTTAGGCACATACAGAGTATCACAATAAAGCATTCTTATTACAATAAATACATCTGATTCAAAAAGAAAAGGTATCATACTTTGTTTTATTTTGTTTTTCTATTTTGTTTTATTGCAGTAGTAAGAATGCATAAGAATGTAGTCAAACGTCTCCTCTAAAGCCATTCATGGGGAAAAAATTTAAGAGGAGAATAGGTGCAATAGAAAAGTTACACACAAGAGATTTCAAAGCACGGGAAAATGTATTTTTCTCTAAAAAAATGTCACTGCTTTTTGCATTATCACTGATGAAAAAGGTTGCTTAACTATTAATGAACATGTAGATGCTTAAGCACATAACGCTTTTAAAAATTATTTTTTATTCTACATTACTATCTACAATAGTGATAACCATTTTGAGAGACACATTTATTATTCTTTCAGTAGTTGTTAATTGTACGATTGGTAGCTACTCAGTGAAAACATACAATTCTTAAGGGAATTTTGCTGAGACAGTTGATAGTGTCTAAGCAATCAGTATCAACACATCTACATCTGACCCATATTTTGGAATTTAATATAAATCATGTTGGTAATGAGTAGTGCATGAAGCAGTAACTAGTTCCATTAAAGTCTCGTAATTTACAGAAAAAGCCATTTGTTCCACAGTGTATTTAGTGGCAGTCATTTCTAGCAGCTAATTTGATAAATGTTTGTCTAGAACATGAAAAGTGGGTTTTTAGAGTTTTCATATTCAGCCTGATGTGGTTTCAACAAGAACAATTGCACCTCACAGGGGAAATTAGGTCAATGTTAACTGGACAGAGATAGTAAATCAAAAATATTCCCATGTTAAAGTGTCAATCAAGTAGCCTAAACAAGAGGCAGAGGAAAATACTTTAGTCTTCTGAAAGAGCATAAAAGAAAGGGTTTGTCTCAGCAATTTGTTAAATCCACTGTTTGTGAGGATGTTGTGCTGTTATAAAAACATGGAAGGTGACAATTTCGTCTTATGGCAATATGCACTAAGAGAAAGAAAAAATGGAAATAAGTCTCCTGTCTTAATCTCTGTGATATATGTTTAATCTTTGCTTGATCAGCAGACATGATAATGTTTGCAATCAGAGCTTTTAATAGTCCTGAAGTACTACAGAATAGGAAGCAGTATGCTAAAATGTGCAGAAACATCTTGGAGGAACTTGACACTGCAAAATTAATTGCAAAAATATTCAGATTTCCCTCTTTACAAGTATACACTTTCTTGTTCCTATGAGGAATGGCAGCTTAATAAATGATGTTAAATACACTAAAGAAATAGTAAAGATAGTTATTAAAAGACATGATGGTGAAGCTGTTCAGCTCTTTCCAGATTTAGTAACCTGTAGTGATGGCTTCTGGAGACAGATGTACATAAAGTGTTCTTAACCAGCTATTTCAAGCCTTCAAAATAGCTTTTATTTATTTTTAATATTAAAGAGATATGATAGGTATGAGTAAGGTTTAGGTTTCCATGTTTCAACAGCTGATTTACATAAAATTATACAGGAAAAATCTACAGTACAAGAATGCACTTATAGGTTGCACTTATTCCTTAGTTTTTAAATGACCAGGTATGACTGATGAAGCTACAAATAAGTTACAATATTTTAGTATTTCCCAGCCTGGCCAGCCCTTGAGAATCTCTATTACTGCCAGTGAGTGTCTATCATAGCTATTAAAAGCCGAAACTAATATAACACATGCTGGGACTAATCTCTGAGTGAGGTGTTCTCCCAGATATAGAGGTTGGGGTGGCATAGATAAGCTTTAGAGGTGAGATGTACAGGTCACATAACATAATTAAAGGAGCTAAAATCCTTAGCTCCAAATGAAGCATGAAGCATGGATTTTTTTTTTTTTTTGCTTTTTTTTTTTTTTCTTTTGTTCAGCTCTCTATCAGCTTCCCTTCCTAAAAAGGCATGGGTGCTCTCACTGTCCCAAAATCATAACAGTGAAACATTTCTCTGTGCATGTATTCTTTTGGTTTTTTCCTCAGGGGGGTTTTCTTTGAGGGTGAAGGACGATAGCACTGTGAGTTGTTAAGTACAAGGCAAGAGTTGGGGAGTGAAGTAAAATCCCATTTTCCTAGTAAGTAGAAATAAAAATTAAAAAAAAAAAAAAAACAAAAAAAAAACCCAAAAAAACCCACCAAGTAGTTTGAAGAATCTGGGTACATTAGAATTTGAGATATCTTATTTTCTTTGTATACAAGAGCTCTGACACAACAAAAATCTCCCAGACCAAGAGGAGTTTTGGGTTGTGGTTGTTCCTTGTGTATGCAGACTGCCGTCTAGCTTTTTCCAGTACCTTCAGGATGCAAAAATAAATAACCTGAAGAATTACAAAACTTTCTTCATGAAAGTTAATCTAGACATCGAGGAATACAGAGCCAGCCAGATCTTCAGACTGTGACCCTATAGACTTGTGAGGATTTATACTGATTTGTGCATGATGGATATCTGGTCTTCTCCTAGTTTTCCCTTCAGAGCAGCTCACCATCAGTTTGTGTAAGGAGAACCTGAGAGGTATGACCAAGCACATTTCCATGTGTATTTTATTTATGAGTGACATAAACCGATAGCCTATTCTGTCACTTCAAATCTGGATTACCAATGAGAAAAGCCCTTCAGTTACATTTCATAATGAAATGATCTGCTGCAGAAGCTCTGTTCTGCCAGATATTGTGTGTGTGTGTGTGTGAGTAGGGATGTGAGTGTGTGTGTGTGTGTTTGGCGGTGACATGAACGAAAGCCAAGGAAAAAGCATAAAAGTTAAAGTAGGTTCATAAGGAGCACAATGCCCTCAATACGTCAGTGGCAGCTTTTTCGCTACTGCCTCAATAAATACAGAAGTCTTTAATGGCTCCTTACAACCATTCAGCCCAACTGGTGTTATGATTGGTATACCATTCTTCCCTGTGCTGGGTTAAGATTTTATTTAAAAATACCCTCTGAGCTTCTTCACAGACATAATTTTCCTGCAGTGTGCAGTCACACCAAACAAATTCATGGAGCTAATTATGCTTAATTTATCCTTTGTACACTGGAAGTCATTTAAAAGTCAATTAATTTATGCCAGTGTAAAACCAGGTAATACAAGTTGGAAGGCTAAGTGCTGCTTATGCTAGTTGTGTAGTAGGAAAGCATATCTAATAGGACTCTTTCTGTTTGACTAGGTTCTTTTCATAATCCCAGCTCTGCTTTTATTCACTCAAGGGGATATTTTTCATTAACTTCAACTTTTGTAGGGACATGGAAATCTCCACATTTTTTTATGGTCTCACCTGTATCTCTGCACAGATATATAAGAAAGAAATTTAAATAAGGTTTATGACCAGACCTTCAGCTTCTGGAAATCAGACATCTCTTTCCATTAGTACTTATGATTGCAAATGTGTGGTTTTGAATCTTGGAAATTTTGTGGGATTATTTAGAAGAACCTCCACAGTATGAATTAGTGTTGTTCCACGCTCTACAGTTGAATATGGTAAATTTAAAAATTATTCCAGTCTTTGCTGGAAAATCTTGGCATTGACATATATTGTACTGATCAAATTGAAGACTGACATTTTTCTCGTAGGAAAGCAAGATACATTACTTTGGATATCTTGATCCCAGTTTCCAGGAGAGAATTAATATTAGGGTCAGTCTAGTCTGATCTTCTGCCTGCTGGAAATATAGATTTGCCACACTGCCAAAATAAGAGAGCAGTATTTCCCAGATTTGCACAAAGTATATAGTTTAATAGGTATAGCTGCCATCTATATCCTGCTATATATATTCAAAAAAGTCCTCAGTCCAATTCTACCAGTCCAAATTTACACTCCAGGAAGAAAAAAATGTGTTAAATGGAAATTACAAACACTTAATTAAAGCACCATGCATCTTAGCTGATTAATAACTGATCAAACAGCCTGGGAAATTCCACACAAAGCTAAAGTTCATGATGGCAGATGTTTTGCCAGTCACAGTAACCTGCATACTGCCCTCAGGAATGCTGTCTTCCATATGAAGTATTCATGGTCTTGAGAATATATTTTGAAGAAAAGTGCTAAGCATATTGTGGTGAGCTGCCAGTACAACAGCATGGTGATTGCTGAAGAATCTCTTGTCAGTGTTCTGGCCTTACAAGATCCTTGCAATATGTTGCCAGCTGTATGCAGCCCTCACAGATGATAGTGTGCTCCTCACTGTGGCAGCCAGATTGTCACCAGCCTAATCTCATTCATGAGCAGCTATTTATGTAAGTGATCAGACAGCGTCAAGCAAGTCATGTGGATGACCATTTATCTACATCTGCAAGGGATTCAATCTGGCCACATGCTGATTGAAGCATAAAATGTGAAAATAGCTGTCTAGAGAATGTAAGTTGGATTTTCTGTGATAAAAATTGCAAGTGTGCATATTGCCATGAAGTCCACCATGGCAGCTGGAGTTGGTGAGAGGCACAGGAGATGAATCTTCTGCCTGATCACCATTGTCAGATCCCAGGGCAGTGTTTGGGGTGCAAGTGGCTCACACTGTTGGAATATGCCCCTGGAGGGTAATTTTCTGCTGGCAGTGGACTTGCCCCTCATGTTCTGTAAGTGGGGTCTGTGATACATAAATATAAATTGCTGTGGTTCCTGTCAAAACGACTGGTAACACAACAGTTATTGCTTATTTCTGCTACTTGCACTCAGCTGAGAGCAGGTCCTACTACTCTGCACTTGTATCTACAAACCTGTGAAACATCTCTGGCAGCCGATCTGAAGCTTCTTTTCTTTCCCTTTGCTGTCTGCAGGTCCAACAGATCTCAGTATGAAGAGGCAGTTAGCAACCAGCTCTGGATCCTCCAGTAGTTCCAGCTCCAGACCCCAGCTGAGTCCGACTGAAATAAACGCAGTGAGGCAGCTTGTGGCAGGGTACCGAGAATCAGCCGCGTTTTTATTGCGCTCTGCAGATGAACTGGAAAACCTTATTTTGCAGCAGAACTGAGTCATGTGACCTTCACACCGGCCTGGTCTTATCTCAGAATTTCCACTAATGACATTTTGATTTCCCAGAGCACACACTTCAGTTACTGCACAGTCTTTTAGGAGAGTTAATTACCATAATGCCACACTGTTCTTGATCCATAAAGTGATGTGTTAAGGTGCTTCAAGTGAACTTCGACCTCTGGTGTTTCCGGGGTACTTTACTGTGTCCAGGCTATTGCTTTTGTTTTAGTGTGTCAGCATAAATATCGAAAAAGTGGCTAGAAATTAACTCATTCTAACAAGTGGAGGAAACAGAAGATGCTGTGATGGTTTTTTAAAACAAGTGGTTCAAGATCCAAGTGCAATATTAGTGGAATGTGATACTGACTCATTGGACTTAAAGCTGCAGTATATGGCAAAACATTGCCAAATGTCCTGTTGCTACAGGGCACAATTGCAATTAAAAGGATCTTGTATTTTAAAAAAATGTAATTTTTATAAAAAATGAAACAAAAGATTTTTGTTTTCATTCAAGATTTTTCATTTTTACTTTGGTAAACTTTTTCACTGGTCCTGAAAATGTTTTGAGGAGCTATTTTAAGTCCCCCTTTCCTCTCTTGAATCCCTGGCTGTGCCCTTCTCCCCAACTTCATATTCTTTCTACAATGAGTAACTCTTGATGCTGGATAATTTCCTCCCCTGTGTACTGTAAATTGTCATCTATGGAATACCTTCCAAAGGAAGTATGCATTTTCTGCATTCATGCCATATTCAACTCCATTCTGTAATATATTGCAGCTTTATTAGTGATTAATAAAGAGTTGAGCGTTTTTTAAAAAAGACATATCGTTGAGAAAAAAAAGAGATGATTTGATTTCTTATGGTGAGCTCATCTGACTCCATGATCACTGCTGCTGTCTTATACAAGTCCCTCTAGTTGTGATTGGATGTAGATGATGAATGTTAAGAGGTTGCAAGTGACAATCTGAAAATTTGCACTCTTGTGTGTATTTATTTTTTTCCTTAATTTAAACAAAATTCTTACCAAGGAAGGTCATTGACACTTCTGGTATAATTTGTATAATTCCCAGGCCTAGCTAAAACCTGTACAAAACTGTAAGTGGATGCAGCTGCAACTGTAATAAAACTCTTCTCTCCCCTTCCCCACTCTTCCCAACCTCTCTATTTCTTATTTTATAATATTGATTACACATTAATGGTGTTTTCTTTGTGCACTATGGCAGGCTTCTTTTAAGTATATAGAAAGAAAGGTACTTTCGTTTATGCTTATTGTACTATCTGTTCTGTTGTTTAGCTTTTGTTGAATAACAAGTTTCTTGTGCATTCCTAAATTTGCCTTATTTCATGTACAAAATTTTATGTAATTCCGTTTTTGACAATGAGTTTAAGGCATCAGTGATATTTTATATCTACTTGTTACATATAGTTTTCCAAGTAATGACTGTGATTGTGACCAAGTAATGTGCACTTTTTCTTGTAACTGTGGACATTGCTATGCTTTTTTTTTCTCTAGTGTTTCTAGAATTACTGTTGCTTACAGTTATGTAAAAGAAAAAGAACTTTTGTGATACTGTTGGTGAATATTAATGTGAAAAAGCCTATGAAATATGAGTATTTTGGAGGTACATAGATACACAAACATCTCTAAGTTGTGGACTCATGTTCACATATTTAAATGAGAATTCAAAACCTGAGGGCTGGAATCATTTCCTCTGTTTTGTTTGGGTAAATAAACAGATTTCTGTGTTTAAATACATGATTGTGAAACATTATAACATTTAAATCGAATAGCATTTAAAGCTATAACTATTATGGTCTTTAAACAGGGAAAACAGCTTTCCAGTCCAATTCATGCAGCCCCTCCAACATAATTTTTCAATATTACTTAGTAAATCCAGTAGGATTGAGTAACTAGCATATATAATTTAAAGTTGTCTTGAGGGAACACCATTTTGCCACTCTATATTTGTTCTTAAAAAACTATTGAATGTCTTTTTAAAGGCTTCTGTTCTTGGATATGAGAATATTGTTACAAATCCTTGCCAGTTGTTGCCCATCACTTGGGAGGTGCATTTGTTTCTAACATCATCTCCCCGTGCCCCTGAAAGCCTTCAGCTCATCTCTGCCATAGATGTGGGGTTGCTTCAGCTTTTGTCTCACCAAGAATTCAAAAACCCCTTCAGACCCAGGCCTTTTCCCTCTCTTTGGTTTTCAAATATCTACACTCCCTCCTGTTTCCTGCATGCCAGGAGGGGATGAAGTAGGTACCTCATGCCAGGTCACTATGTTGTCCTCACTCAAAAAAAGCTCTGGAATACATCTTCCACAGGTAAGAGTGGCAAATATGTCTAGGTTTCCAAGTTTCCCTGGTCCTGCTGTGCAGGGCAGTGTGCCTCACACTGCCAACTAAACAGCAACCAGCAGTTTGTCCAAGAGGCTGTTTGCCAGCCAGGAGTCCTTCTCAGCTGAGCAGCCTCACCACTCTTCAAGCTTTTTTGCTAAATCCAGATAAGGACAAGAAGCTAGAGAACAAGGAGGTGTGAAATTTAATTCAGTTTTCTGTCCTCTGACTCCTCTTTCTTCTCCCTCAATTAGTCTTTCTCTTGAGGGAGAAGTAGGAAAATTTGGGGTCACTGTACAACATTCAAGGCCCATGACTAGTTTCCCCCTTTTCCAGCTCCATTCCCAGCCTACTTTGATAGTTCACTGCATCTTCTACACTATGTCTTCTACACACATCCTCTTCTTCTGGGTGCCTCCTCTGGAATATTTAGGGTCTCCTTCAATCATAGAAGCAATTAATGTCCTCTAAAGCCTTATACAGATACTTAGTAACAGTGTCCTCAATTGGTTTGTCTATATCAAATTCCATCAGACAAATGGGAGTTTTTATTCTAGAGCTGTTTCTACCCCTAAGTACTGGGTTTATTAATTTCTTCTTTGGAACAATCACATATTCAATTATAGTTTTAACTTCCTCTTCTAAGAGATACTGAAATTCAGACCCATCCTGTGAAGGAGAGACCATAAACCTCTGTCCATTTTTGTGTGTGAAAATCTAAATCCAAGCATTGCAACTAACTTTGTCATCTTGAATCCAGGTCTCAGAGCCGCCTACTCTGTGTCTGCTTTGAACCTTCTAAGGCAGTAAAAACACAAGGGAGAACATCTTGCTCAGGCACCCAGCAAGAGCCTCAGGGTTATTTTTTTCTCTCGTCCACCTCTTCTGTAACAAAGGCCTCATTACCTCATTAACAGCCTAAATGTTGCTGTTAGGATAAGACCAGTTTCTACCAGCATGGGTGTGTCCACTGAGTATGACTGCTTAAGGCTGCCTTCAGAAAAGCGTTACCCTTATAGCCAACATCTTTACTAAACTAGTGCTTCAAGTTTGGTGGATGTCTCACTGCAGAACTTCATCAGTGCAGAAGTGGCAGGTGCTGGTCCTTCTTGAGACAACCTCACATCTTCCAACTATCCTGGAGTTTCTTTATGAGTGGCCTGTCAGACCTCTAGTCTTCAAGGGATTGCTGTACAGGGAGGGATGGTGGGAAAACATCATAATGTCCATAAACTTCCCTACAGAGTTAAGTACCAAACCTGACCATAGTCTGAGTGTGTTGAGCCTCTTTAGGCTTACATACACACTGGGAATCGAAGTCACTAATCCATTCTTCTCTGCCTGATTTCCAGAGTAGTTTTCATGGACAGCTGTGGGTAATACCTTTAGATTCAACTTTGGGTTGTGAGAGTGGACAATCTGGCTAGCTTATCAACTAATCAGATTGGTTCACTGCTTTCAATGCCTGCCAGGAAACTGGAGTCAGAACACAAGGAAAGAGATCTGGAGTCAAACGTTTTTTATCCAGATTGGCACCTTGTTTCCTGTCATTGAAGGATGACACCATTATACCAGCCATGGTCAGTATCAGAAGCTACACAAAGAGTATACAGAGGTAAGCAAGTATTTGACAGTTCTTGCCCATCCTCTACAGAGAATGAATTTTCTGGATGAGGGAAAGCAGGTGAACATGTATGTGACTGTGGCTATAAAACTAATTGGAAAAGAGAGTTATACTAAAGTGACTGGATATTCTTGCTGAAATGGCCTGAGTCACTGCTGAATACAGTGTAGGTGGAGGTGGGTTTTGTTGGTAAAACTCCATTGAAAATGAGGAGCAATTTCATTTCTTCAAAGTGCCCAGCACTGTGTTAAAAGACTCCCTATAAATTTGTTGAAGCTCCTCTGAATCTGGTTTTGAAAGGCTTGTGAGGCATTCATAAGGAAGGGATGTTTTTCTATGTAAACAAAGCTGATCTTGATAGATCCTGAAGTTAGGATCTAGTCCGGCCTCCACCCACTACTGAAAAACACCAGCATATGAAAAAGAATTGTGAAATAATGGGAGAAATCAAGCAATGTCATAGAGGTGGTTACTGAATAAGGTACATAAGAATATAAAATGTCTGTGCTGGACAAGATCAGTTGTTCACAGCCTTGTAGTCTGTTTCTGAATAATGTGAATAGAGCAAGACTATAGCAAGGCTTTCTAAATGCATGTCCATGGCCTACAACAGCTTGAGGCTGTGGTGGGCGCTTCCTGGCTGGCAGGTAAGTCCCCACCCACTCCCACCCCACAGTGGCACAGGGAAAAAAGCCAAAGAGCAAAAGCAGGAGAAAAAAATGGGTCAAGCTGAGTAAGTGAAGAATGAAAATGAAAAAAAGAGTTGCAAAGATAATCCTTCATCACTTTCTACCAGGAGATGTGACGCCCAGCCGATCCCCAGGCAATGGCTACTTAGGATGTGTACCCCACCCCAATTCCCCCTACTTCTTTTTGGCCAAGAATGATGTCATGTGGCGTGATATATCATTAAAAAATATCAAGCAAAAGGAGAACTGAGTTGCTTGAGGCCATGCAACCTGTGAATGCCCAGGTCTATTGACCCCTTTCCATGGTCAGGACTAAATCAATTGCTGTACAACAGGGTCCAGAAATGTTTTTTTACCTCTACTCAAATTACCTGCTAAAATCTCTTTTTCACTACTGAACAAAGGAGCTGGAAAGGCTGTAAAATTACTAACTGCATCATGAATAGAAACTTTATGTTGTGCCACATAATTAATTTAATTTCCCTGAATCTGGATAAAGATATTCTATGCAAAACTTTTTGCTCCTTTTTCTAATGATGTCTGGAAACACTGTGTAAGAGTTCTAATTATTGTGACTGTATATACAAAACTTTTTTGTAAATATATAATTGCTGTAGTTAGCCAACTATGGTGTAAGGAGAGCTGGGAAAAGGATCCAGCACATAGATAGGTTTGTCTTCCTTTTCTTGACTTAGCAGGGAGGTAAATTACAGTAGTTAATTAAAACTAAGCAGTGTTACTGAATTTTCAAGATTTTCTAGAAAAGAACTTAAAGTTTTTCCTAATGCTCCCCTGGAGACCTATATCAGATAATTTTTCCTTTTTTCCTGTGAGGCTGCTGTTTTGTTATTGTAGGGTTGCTAATCAGTCCTTGGTGCTGTTTTTTTCACGCTCACTCACAGCACAGTGAAGTACTCATAGTAGGAAAAGCAGCAGGAAAAATTGGAAAAATAGGAGGGATAAATATTATTAATATTTCCAACATGTCTCTGTTTAACCATTTTAAATTAATTTTATTTGTGGTTCCCTGATCACAGTGCTTTAGCACCACAAGCTTGACCTATTTATTTCCTTTTGTATTTTGTAGGAGAAATAGCTTCTAGCTGAGAAAATCTCTTACTGCCCTAACCAGCAGGCAGCCTTAACAATGTTCATTTGCTGCACCTGATGTTTGAAAATTGCAAGCTACAAGGCATGCTTAACTCACAGTGCCATTCTCTAATAATTTGAGGCACAGGCTATTTTTTAATTTCTCTGTCCAATCTAATTATACTTTATTAAACCACATATTAATTTATTTAAACTATAAATAACAATAGAAATAAAATTAGGGATTTAATATAAATCCTTAATATCTAGCATAGAGTTGGAAAATTTGTCTCAGTGCTAAAGTATAAAATCATATGATTTCTCCTTTTAAAAAAATTACTATCAGTATTGTTTGTTTACAGTATATGGAGTCCAGATTTCTTCTGCTATTGGGGGGAAATCTCTATGGCATAAATCCACTCTCTTGTTTGGACTCAGTTGTCAAGAAGACAACATACCCCATTCAGTCTCTCTGCCATTCATAATTCTACTGCCTTAAAGACAGTGATGATAAAGGGCTTGAAATCATGGTCAATTAAAAAACTACCACATGGTTATTGACTAAAGTTTAATTGTTCATACACTAAATAATTTACATTCTGATAGAGTCATATAATCAAATAATGGTTTGGGTTGGGGGAGGACCTTCAAAGCTCATCTAGTCCAACCTCTCTCCATGGGTATGGACAACTTTGAAAGCCTGATCCAACTAGGCCTTGAACATTTCTAGAGATGGGGCATCCACAGCTTCTCAGGGTAATCTGTTCTAGTGCCTCACTATCTTCGTTGTAAAAAATTTCTTCCTTACATTCTATATAAATTTAGCATCTTTCAGTTTAAAATTATTACCCTCATTGCCCCATGTCCTGTCACTGCAGACAGGTGAAAAATCACTTTCTGTCCTTATATATCAAGAGGCTGCTCTGGCTGCATGAGAGCCTTCTGTTCTCCAGGCTGAATAAATCCAACTCCCTAAACAATTCCTCATAAGGGGGGTGTTCCAGCCCTCTGACCATTTTTTGTGGCCCTCCTCTGGACCTGCTCCGAAGATCTATATGTCCCTTGTGTAGGGAACTCCAGAGGAGGCCACAATTTTCATTAGGCATGCAAGAACGTGTCTGTCTTTCTGGCCTGCAAGCACACATTGCTGGCTTGTGTCCAGTTTTTTATCCACCAATATTACCTTGTCCAATATAAGTCCTTCTCCAGTCCCAGTTCATCCATTCTCCAGTCTTTATTGATACTGAGGGTTGCCCTGACTCAGGTGCAGAACGTTGCACTTGACCTTTTTGAGCATGATGAGGTTCACATTGGTCCACTCCACAAGCCTGCTAAGTTCCTTCTGGATGGTGTCCCAGAGGATCCAATCTCTTGGATCATTATTAGCCTAGGAGAGGGCTGTTAGGAGCTCTGTATGATGCTACAGAAAAGCTCTCACTCCCAGTGGCCTTTTGGCTGGGCACTGCATTCCCTGTATTTTTGGACTGACAAGTTTTTGGAAAATCTCCGTGGAATGATACAGCTTAGGTATAAGTGTCACTGTCACTGGGACTTCAGGCTGGTATTTTAGAACTTAAAAGAGAATTCCACTGCCAAGAAACTGAGAGAGAAATGTGGTTACTAGCTGTCTCTCTGTACATTTTTAGGTACATTTTTAGGACGTAAAGCAGTGAAAATTTATCTTTGCTTAAAAAGGGCCATCTGCCCATCCTTGTCACTATAAAAGGACGCTTTTTTATTTTATTCTGTAGGGGGAAATGAGAATACTAACAAGGATACTGAATTGTATTAGGCTTCTCTTTCTCCCCACCAATAAGAGGTGTCATTGTTATGGTAATACAGTGTGAATGGCAAAATATGATGACAGAAATCAGTAGGCGTTGGGTGCCTGGATGAACACCAGGCCCTGAAAGGACTCTGCAGACTGAAGTTACTTGAGTCAAGACTCAACTTGACACATTTTGAGAGGGCACACTTTTTGTTCACTAAATTTAAATTCATGAACTATCAGAAGCAGCTACCTAGAAATTATGCAGATCTTGTCCCAGGCTGTGAATAAAAGTTATTGGGGCCACTCCTGAGTGGGATAAAGAATGGAACCCATTCAACAGAGATCAGATCTCATGCTATGACCTTTGAAAATATTTATAAAAATGAGAAGCATTCACCTCAGTCAAAGCTTCAGGATTTGGTAAATGTCACAAAGAGTGTCCAATTGTTTACCACTTAGTTCCTGAGCAGTGGTCCTGGCCAGCTGTCCCTCTTTTCCCTCCCTCAGGTTATATATGGAGCCATGTGGTGTGTGTTGCCCCTCTGGCCAGCTCGGGTCAGCTGTCCTGTTCTTGTGTCCCCCAGCCTGCTCCCTGGTGGGGTGGGATGAGAGGCTGAAGGATCCATGGCTATAACAAAGCAACAACTAGAATACCAGTGTGTTATCAATATTGTTCTCACTCTAAATCCAACCACAGCACTGCACCAGCTACTGGGAAGAAAATTAACTCCATCCCAGCCAAAAGCAGGACAGTTGATAACATATTTTAATTATACTAGCTCTTCCAGCAATCACAGCTGAGCTGAGAGGCTTGCACCAGGTACTCTGACCATAAGTTGCTTTCTAGAAGGCTGACAGCTCTAGGATGAAGGAAAAAAGCTCATTCATTACTGATTGAGACTCTTCCAATTCATAAAAGTGTAAGCATTTGGTTTGGGTGCAACAGAGTCTGTGTTCATCCACTGAAACCTGCTAGCTAATTTGGTATGTTCACTTGTAAAATTTAGTTGCCAAGTAGTAGATTCAGCTTGAATGCTAAGAAATGGTAAACTACTGAAGTGGGCTAGTTGTGACAAGCAGGCTTACTGTGGTAGCTTTGCTTCATGAATATTTCACTGTTGTTGAATTCAGCAGAGACCAGACTTCTTCCCAAAGTATTTTGAGATACCAAAATAATGTAGTGATCTTGTCTCATTTCCTTCAAGAGTGACAGTATGACATGCTGGAGGTGTGCTGTGTAAAACCCACACTTGTCAAAGAGGTTGTATTACCAATTAAGAAGTTTTGGTTTTGTTCTGCAGATGGCAGTGCTTATCAGCCAACGCTCAAGTAAGACTTGGTTGATCAGCCCCTCCAGGTCAGAGGTCCAGAAGGGTTTTTCTGTGGGTGTTGGTGAGTCTGACTAAAAAGTTCCATCAAGTCTTGACTGACTAGAAGTCACTCACAGGCTCCTTGTTGTTAACCCTCTACCATGGTACCTTCCTAACCTCCATACTGTGTTTGTTCTTACACTCCCTCTTTACTGAATTTGCAGGGTTGGAGTTTTCACTAAAATGAAATGCATATTCTTAAATGTTTTTTCCTTCCATCTGTGCTGAGGAATCCTTTTAATGAGCCTCCATTTATTTTTTGTATTAACCCTTCAAGAACCTAGACATTTAAGTTGTAAACTTATGTGTCTTAAAAACAGAAGAATAGCTTCAAAAATATGGATTACAAAAATAATTTTAAAACACCCAGAATAGATTTGCATGATTCCTGAATCTTAGAGTAAGAACTTTGTTGAAAGGAAAGTGAAGCAAAAGTAAACAAAGAAAGCTTTAGACATTTCTAATAAGACATTGAACTTCAGATTTCATTCTCTCACTGAATAGCAGCAGGCCCTTTCATGTGATGTGATGGGGGTGGGTTTGGGTCTGTTTTTTTGGGGGTTTTTTTGAAACCTTTAAAAGGCTGAAATAAATAAATTTCAAAAAACCCAAACCAACCAACCAACCAACAAAAAGCCAAAAAAAGCCCGAAAAACCTCCTCACAACTTTTAACAGATGTCTTTATTAGGACTAGGAGAAGTGTTCAGGAGAAGTCATCAGGCCAGCAATCAGATCAAACTTTAAAACGCTGCTACTTTATTCTTAAAATGCAACATGCCTGTGCAGGCAAAACTTTGAAAAAACTAAACACCCTGTCTGGCATTAGCACCAGGCTCACCATTGGAAAGGTGAGAGAAAACTCATGTCATGCTGTAATTTGCAGCAGTTCTGAATGGATGTGATCCTCATTAGCACAGGCACCTGACTGACTATCTGGCATATCACAGTTCCTTTAAATTGATTTCCCAGAGTAGGCATCTTTTTTTTTTTTTTTTTTTTTTTTTTTTTTTTTTTTTTAACTCAGAAGGAAGAAATCACAGCCATCACAAAAATGGACATGGCTGAGAGTTATGCTTTGATGTGTGTGACAAAAATATCTAAATGGACTGCTCCTAGCCATAGCAAATGTGTGTGGCATTTGTTTTGAATCTCTTTCTTCAAAGGAGAAGTTATCATTAATTTCTTTAGCAATGTCACTCATGAGTCACTTACCCACCTCATTATTAGTGTGTCCTACTGAAGGGCAGGTACCATTCTTGGAAGGAGAGAAACTGGTGTATTCCACAGACATCAAAAAGAATTTCTGGGGGAATGACAGAGGTTTTCATTTGCAGCACTTTCAAAACAAGAAGAGTAATATCTGTGTGGCAGCATCTAGCAAAATTAACCACCCCTTTAACCACTGGCATCCAATGATTTAAATAAAATTCTGTAATTTTTAGTTTTTATTTAATCACTTTATCTCCCTTTCCACCAAGAATTTTCACAGGTTGCTGTAGCATGACACCTACTGGTAGAGATAACCAAAATAAATAGATGCAGCTCCCTCTGAATGATGAAATAAATGCATCTGCCAAGAATGGGATTTTTGTTTCCAATTGAAATGGTTATTGATGTATGTCCGTTCACATGGGCAGCACAATCACTGCAGCTTGCAAAAGGAGAGGGTGTGTTCAGACACAGCAGTGTCTGCAAGGGGCAGCTGCAGTCTGGATCAGTGTGGCCTGGGGCAGTGTGGCATCCTTGGCTCCTGTGCCCTGGAGTCCAGACAAGCCACTTCATTTTAGCTTTGGCTGAAGGATTGTGTAAACAACAGCACCCCTACCTGAAAGGCAGAGCTGCTGCTTTAGCCCAAGCTTTTGGAAAGCTCATCACGGACAAGCTGCTTCCACAGTCGTATCCTACAAGGACTGCTGAAGTTAAGCCTGAGTTTCTTTCATTTGATGTAATTTAATAGTTATGGAGTTTTCTGAAGACACCAGGGGTAGACTGAAGGTGATGTGAAGAGAAGCAGTGGAATCACACTTTCAACCGTTTTATACGGTTATCATCATCGGGGGATTTGCGACTTACACACTTTCTCACCTTATATCCTCTATTTCATCCACACAGAAACCACATTTATAGGCACTATAATCAAGTAGTTATGGCTTGAAATTAAAATAATATGTTTTACCATATCACTCCATGAAAGGGTGCAGAAAAGGTTTTCTATGTTTCTAAACCAAGCACCTTCCTGGCATCTTCACAAAAAGCAGGATATTTCCACTCCTCAGTGCTAACTCCATTGGTCTGTGGCCTTTCCAACTCAGACCAATGCTTGTACTTCTATTACCACCTGGAAAGTCACCTGCTTCCCTAGTGTGTCCTGTTTCATTATTGAACAGACTTTCCCTATTTGACAGCACACCAGCAGTGCCTTCATGTCTCAGGATATGGTTTGCTAGTGAGCTATTATCTAACTCTACTCAAGTTTTTGAGATCCAGTCTAGGTTTTCTCCTCTAAATAAATTACCACAACAATGTCACTTATCAAATTGTAATCCTTGTTAAGTTCTTCCACTGTGCATAACTCCATTTTCACACTGCACAAAGCAGAATCAAAAAGCTTTTCCATCAATTTGCAAACTGTATGTTTGGCCAGTGCTTCATAAATTCATTTATGTCACTCAAATGTGAATGAGAGCTTAGGTATATGGAGAGAGAAAGAGAGGAGTAAAAGGTAGTAAGGATGCCTTAAGCATTTCTTATTTGTTCTTAGCACAGAAAAGGAACTTTTTTCAGTTTCCAAAAGGAACTTTTATTACAGTTTCCAAAGCAGTAAAACAGATGGCACAGGTTCCCAGTGGGAAAAGTATGTTTTGCTTTAACCAGTTTTGAAAGCTTCATTTGGAGATATGTAAATACATTATTTTTACACTACTATCTCTTTAAAAGCTGCAGTTGTATTTTGGACACATTCAGTTGGATTTCACCTTTTTGCATTAGCTAGAAAGGTGTGTTTTTGCAATAACTGGAAAGACTTCTAAGCAGATACCCCACAGCTTTGTCAGGGAGAAAAGTGCAGATCTGATTTTTTTTATTAGATCCCTTTTCGCTACAGCCACATTGTCTCACTAGTTTGTGCACAATAAAAAAACATACCTACAACTTCCTTCACTTGTATTTTCTTTTTGCAAATGTGGCCTGGCTCTTATTCCTTTAAACAGTAAATCACCTCTCACCTGAGATAAGACAGCAGCAGGAGCCTTCTTTTTAGATCAGCCTCTCCTGAGACCTGTAGCTGATGTATTTACTGTGCATCACAGGCAAGAGAGGCTGAAGCAGGAAATTTTTCACCTAAATCTTTGCAGAAAGACATTGTGGTTTTTTTCCATTAATTTACAGCAGATAAGGTGATATCTAAGACATGTTTTTCCTTGGGAAAAAAAGCTTAATTGGCTAATTATAGCTGCAACTCCATTTCCACTATCATCTTTCCTCCTGGGTAAAATTTTGTGCCAGTTCACACAGACAAGTTAGTTAAAAGGCCGTACCTCTCAAAGAGCTGGCTTATCAGCTGTTTTGTGGTTATGAGGAATCCTTTCCCAATACCATCCCCTATAGTTGTGCTATTTTCAATCTCAAAGCATGGCTTGCAAGTTCAATGAACTGCCCATTACACACCACCCACATCCCCATGCACTGGCATTGCACCCCTCAGCATTAGCAGAAAAGACAGCTGCCACTTCGGATGTCCTGAAGGTCTACTACTGAGCATGGAGCAAAGCACCTGCCTGGACTTAGGCATGGAAACAAATTTAGGTATAGACAAACATGGGAAAAAAAAAAGAAAAAATTAGGAAACTAATTTAATTTACACATCTACATCTAACTCTGTGTAAAGACCATGTAGGCTGCATTTATTCTTGATTCATGAATCCTCCCTTTTTCTGTTGGGTTTTTCCCAGGTTGATGACTTAGTAGCCCAAATCCAACCAAATACATACTATTACTGTAGTCCCCTTTCCCACCCTTTCCCCCATGTCTGGGGCAAGAGGGAAGGGAATTTAGGAGGAGGCTCAGTTCTGCACTCCCAAACTCAGAACATCCCCACCTGCTTATGGAAATGTTACCCTTAGGGATCCCGGGCTCCTGATACAGCAAACAATTTTTCACCTCTGTTCAGGCAATGAAAACCTTAAACCTGTCCTGAACACACGAAATCTGGTGTTTCTTTTCTTTGTGTGCCATTGTGTGTGTAAGAGGAAAGAGTGTGGATCAACAGCTGCCTTTAGTCACTGCAGTCAATCGGCTTAAGAATGTAATCATCTAGAAAAAGGAAGGGAGCCTAAACTGCTGTCACTTGATGCTAATAAAAGTTTAAGCATTAAGCAACAGCAAGAGACAGGCCTTTGTTCACTCTAAGTCTGGCTCTCTGTGTGCCTTACACTGTGGCAACACCCTACGCTGAGAAAGGGTCTTACAATGGAATGAAACTCGGAGAAGACATTTCTTCAATGTGCTACTTACTCTGCCATTCATCTTCAGTCTCCCTGCTACTTTGCTGAATATTAATGCTCAAATAAAGCTTCCCTGTCCTCCACCGTCTAATTCTGCACTATTAGGCACAATCCAGTGGTTTTGTTTCTTAGATTTTCAGGGGATTTCTTTTTTAAACAGCAGCTGGTTGGGTTTGGCACAGTAATTACTGTTGTGTCATACATTCAGCTAAATGGTTGCACTACAGAACCAAGCAGACAGGCTGTGAGGCAGCAAGTCCTTAGTTAAACAAAAGAGAGCTTTGAAAAATACTAATATTGGCCAGGAAAAATATTAAAAAATATTTGTAACCACGTATGGACTTGGTTACTTGACAGATACCATATTTAAACCTGCCTACCCCTTTGAATATATTATCTCTCTTAACTTATTTGGGATTGTGGGGTTGAGGGGATGGTTAACGGAGTTTAATTCTCACGTAGTGAGCATTAGGAAGGATGGTGGAATCCTGTTGACCCAAGGAAGAGGCGAACATTAATTCAGAATTCTGCATTGCCCAGTGTTGTTAAGGACTGATATGGGAAATACCTTGGAGGAAGAACTTACCTGATGTTCAGATCTTTGTGTCCTTTGTGAGACCATTCCCACTATGAACCGCAAGAAGGGTGTAAAATCATTTCAGCTAGACAGACACTGAAGGCTTACCAGGAAGCAATTCCCTGTTTCAGTATTGTTAATATTCTGGGATGAAGGAAGAAAACCAAGGCTAAGGCAACTGATCAAGCCATGGTAAAAAGAAAAGTTCAATATGTAGGTACAAGACATGAAAAACTGAACCTAACATCCTAACCAAAACAACAATCTGGTTGATCTACTGGCTATTGCTAAATATCCCAAATCTCATGAGTTTTCTATAAACTTTACAAACCAGGTAAATATGAAAATGTAGCTATAGCTGTCTACATCATAGAAATTATGATTACACTGAAGCTCTTGAACTGAAAGCCAAAATAGCTGACCTTCCAATACAAAATGATAAAAAAAAGGAGGCGTATTTTAGCCTGTCAGTGGACAAATTAAGTTTCTGAGACTTTAGTTTACCATTTATGTTTCTTTTTTTCTCTTACAGTATTGTGTAACATCAGCAGTATTTGGAGAGCTTGGGATGACAATCTATGAAGATTCATTTAAGCATTTTTTTCCTCTGAACCAGCTCCTGTACTTCACTCTGTATACACTGCACTTGGGATTACTGCAGGCATTTAACAAGTGCTTAATGTAAGCCCACATTATGTGTATCCAAGATGTTGGGACCAGCCCCCTGACAGAAAGGTAAATGTGACATTTCAGATAGTGCCAGACACTTACAGCACACTTTGCTGCCCTTCATGATGAGAAACTTCTCTCTGCAGGTCAGAAACCACAGCATGCCTTGAATGCCCAAAGGGTGATTCAAAAACAGCAACCAAAACTTCTAGTTTGAGTCATTGCTCTCCATTCAGTGCTGGCCAGGTTAACACTGCCAGAGGCTTATCCACCAGTGGAAAAAGACAGGCAAGGCACTGTGAGGATGTGCTCCCCCATCTCCCAAAAGCTGGCCTTTATTTCCTGCACACCTGCTCAAGGAATAACTAACAGCAGTGGTGTCAGTGGATGAATCTGGTCTCAATGGCTGCATCTGACTTCTAGTGGATTCAGTGCAGATGGAAAACAGCACAATAGCCAAGGGCTGACCTGAGTAGAACATCCCCACTCCCTCACCATGGACCTGGTCAAGGTTTGACCAAAAGCCAGGTTTGTCAGTAACTAACTTCTGTATTTGATACACAAATAGGACTGTAAGTCATTGCCCTACTCCACAAACTGTGGACAGCCAGGGGCCTGTTGAGCTCTCCTGCACAACCGCAGGCTGCACGCCAGGATTTCCCCTTGAGCAGGGATGCTTCTCAAGGTGACTCCTCAAGACTGAGAGATTTCTTGCCACAATGGATTCTCAGTATTAATTCTCAGATTAATAGCTTACTAACATTTTGAATCTCAGCTAAATGATATAAAGGATGGATTGTGCCCACATAATAATTTAGCTAGAAACCATTGGTCAAATCTGGGTCTAAGTCTGGATCTAGCTGCACCTAAACTCCCTTCTGAAAAGGAGTTTAGAATAAAAGGGGGTCTTTTTTGAACCTCATGACTCAATGGGAAGCTCTCCCTGATAGTTTTATCTGGCCCTGCCCTTCATGCAGTGAATAACCAAGTGTACCTTGCCAACAAATCTTGTCAAGCCACTGCTGCATTTGCTATCAGACTTTGTGAAATTGCTGGTTTATATCAGTAAAAAAATTGCTACTTCTTTCTTATTTGTGAAGTGCATCACTCTTATCCATAACAGGCACAAATGGAACTCATCCTGTGGGGGACACAGCAGAGCTGAGGCCCAGGGAAAGGGTAACAGCATCACAGTTTTCCTTGAGAAGTCTTGAGCTTTCTCACCTGAGCACTAAGTTGCTGAAGCCTTGCTGGGTAAGGTACACAAGCCAAGGAGCTCAGCAACAGTCAGAGGTGAGGCGTTGTTCTGTGCTGAAGTTTGGCACTTAGCCTGAGATTCTGAACTGGAAGTGACAGCCTGAGTCTGCAGAGCTGTTCAAGGAAGGAAAGAAGAGCAGGCTTTGAGCCTGACAGCTATGTGCCTCCCCGGTGTAGTAATACCAGAATCATGTCATAGGAAGATTTAAATAGAAAGTGTTCCATTTAATGGGATTTTGGTCACAGTACTGTGGCTCTCTTTAGCAGCATAAAATGTACATTTGAAGCACTGCCTCTTTGCCATCAACTTCTGGCTCATTTTTCTTTGCTAGTGCTTTAATGGTGGGCAATTTTTTTTCAAAGGGAGGAATGTTCTGCAGCACCATAGATGATTCAATGGCTTAACATATTGCACTGCTGGCTGCTGGAGGCAAAATACTGCCTCTTCAATGTATCTGTGTTATATGCTAATTGATGCAATTGCAAGAAAAAGGAATTAATTATGGACTGTAGAGATAATTTCATTGAACAAGAACACTACACAAGACAAACAATATGGCATTCCTTCTTCAATTGAAGATTTTTTTTCCTCTGGCTTGTATTTCTCTTCTTCAAACCCCTTGTTACTCCACTCTGTTATCACTATACTGAAGAAGCTCAGGCTTTGTGTGTGAAACCTGAGATAGGGACAACAGAGGAGGTGAAACAGATGACAGAGTAACTGCCAGAGAAAATGGGGAAGAGAAGGTTGATGAGAATGGGTGAAGTAAAAGAGTGAGGGTATCTCTCTTCATTTTTTGTCAGAGCATTCTTTGCTATCATGTGCCCCAGTTCCAAGTGGAAAATAGCACAATTCATGGAGGAGCTGCCCAGTCCCACCTGAAACAATCATGTTTCTTCCAACAACTTGCTCTCTTTTCTGAGGAAGGCGGCATACCCAAGAGTGGATACTGCTTTCAGCAGTATGGCAAGATTTTAATTTAAAAATTAATTGAAATACACAGCTCTTCTACCACCACCAATACAAAATTGTTATGTGTCACACTTCTCGTTGAAATCTCTCCTTTTAGCTAGAGCTCCCTGGGGGCCCTTCCATCCCACAGGCCAGTGCTGCACACAGAGATCACCTCCTTGGGCTAGTCTTCATACTTAGAAGAAGAAATGTCTACATTATCTTATTCCACTCCACGATTCTCCTTCAAGACTAGAACTCTCTTTTCCTGCAGAAAATAATTCTTTAGACCTGCTTACTTCTCTGTACCCTCAGTGACCCCAGGCAGTATCTTCTGAAGCCAAGGGCCTCATGATGTCATAGCAGGTCTCCTCTCAACAGCCTCCACAACAACCATTAGCCACTGCCAACACTCTTTTTGAAGACCATAAAACCAGTACCTAGTTTCTCTCTGAAAACTTTTCCTGATGCCACTATTATTTCTGCACATCCTGCAAGCCTTTGCTACTGAACATTTCTGCCATGAACAAATAGTACATGTGTCAATAAAATGGTGATTTTAGTAGTTGTTACTACATGTTCAATATTTGCTTATAGATGTAACATATTTGAAATTTTTAAATGCAGGAGGAGCAACTAAGTAGGATTGGTATGCAAATAAGTAATAAAATGCAAATGTGATATGTAAATTGTACTATCTTTAGAAAAATTATGGCATTTCCCCATAAATTATACTTTGCACAAATGCAGTAGTTTGTGGTTAAGGAGAGAGAAAGTAATTCCCAGTTCCAAGTGGCCCATGTGGTCTGAAAAATGCAGCTGCAGCCATAAGCTCCCACCTCAGCTTTTTTTCTCCTCTGATTTTCAACATCTTGTTATTCCTGCTCCTCAAATCCTGTCTGTCTCACTTTCCCTGCTTTCTCCTAGCCCACAGCCACCAAGGCCCCTGTAAATGATCTGCAGCTCACTGCTCTGCACACACACAGCACAAAGCTCATCGCCCATGGCCCCTCAGTGAGAGAGGTCAGGCTCCATGTGCTGGTCCACATGCAGGAGAAGGCATTTAGTCTGTAGCTCAGCATGGACCTGTGGGATCCCATTTGACCTCACTTCTGTCTATGGCTTACAGATAACCTCATCCTCTTGGTCCTTCTTGTTTTGCTCTCCTTTCTACTCCAGGGCAGTAGCTCCTATTCACCAACCATGTTGTAACACCTCTGCTGAACAGGTGAAAAAGCTGTTTCACCTTTCTCGGGAGTTCTGAGCTACCACTTACTTGTACCCTCCAGCAGAACACATGGGCTGCTCTGTAAATACAGAGTTATCCCTTTATAGGCACAGTCGGCAGAAAAATAAAAAAATCCTGTATTTGAGGGCACTCCTCCTCATATGAAGCCCCTTCTTCCTTGGTTTCTTGGTTCAAATGCCCTGTCCCTGGGAATGTTCAAGGCCAGGTTGGATAGGCCTCTAAGCAAGGTAGTCTCCTGAAAGCTGCCCTTGCCCACAGCTGGGATATTGGAGCTGGATAATCTTTGTAGTCCCTTTCAGCCCCAGCCATTCTATGATTCCATGATTCTATGATGATTGTGCAATGAAGCTTTTTGCATGCTGGTGATGACCTGCCCTAGGTACCTCCTCATCTCCCCACTGAAGTCCCAACACCCTGTAATGGGCTCCAAGTCCTCTGGTGAAGGCTTGCCTGAAAAAGGGGGTTCCAATAAGCCATGCCTGGCTGAGCTGCATGTTCTTCATGTTGGTGAAGATCTTCCAGCTCTTCTTTGTGATCAGAAAGCCCCAACAGGTAACACGTGCCATTTCCAGTTGTGATATTGCTGAGCTCTTTGCAGACTCTATTTTGCATATCTTGAAATTTTTGAGCTCACTTCAGTAGGAGCAGTTTTGACCATCAGAAAATGGATAATTACCTAGGTGTATTTACTGATTCAAATATTTCCCTTCAGCAACATCTAGTTTATCCTCCAACATCTTTCACTCAAGACATCTTTTGATTACTTTTTCTATTTTACTTTAATCTTCTTCCCCATCGACCTCTGTCATGCTTTGCTTTGATACAATCATCTACTTCCAAAGTTTTCTGTCCTGTTACCTGTTCCGTTTTTGTCTTTTATCTCATGCCAGCAGCTGCATTTTCTTGGCCTTTATACAGTTCACCTGGCAGCTCTATTTCAGAATGCTACTTTGAACTTTGTTTAAAGATAAAAAGTGAAAGCCATGATATACAGCATTTGCTAACAGCATTTACTACTATGTGATATCTAATGTAACACACTTATTTCGCCCCTAAAGAAGAGCTACCAGAAACAGACCCCAGCATCCCACTGAAGTGAGACTTTTTATGGGTTAGCATTCTTAATCCATCTTAATTTAGGTGTTGGGCAACACATTCTTCAGCTGAAATCCTGTCTCACTGCCCATCTCCAATATACAGCAAATGAAGATATCATGTGTTAGGGAGCAATTATATGCATGGTTTCTCTTGATCAATAATAAAAAAGTGATTAAAAAAACTTTCTAAGGTTTTAAATATTCTTTTTTAAACTCTAGAACTCTGAATTTCATGGGAATATGTAGCAATCTGCACATAATCCTGTGATGGTCCTGCAAGTGCTACCTTAATCACAAATGGTGCATATTAACAAAGGTCCTCACCAGATGAAAGAGAATGTTAAAGAGTAGTTGAAGCTTGATGGATTTAGTACAACCAACTTTGACTCATTCTCAGATTGAGTCAAACAGCTTCCAGCTATATTTCTGCAAGAGGGGGAGGGGGAAATCCCAGATGACAGATGCCGTGAAGAGCAAAGCCCTCTCTAAAAGAAAAGAATAAATCATTTATGTACAGTATTCACTAAAAACTGCAGGGGGCAAGAGACTGCAGGTTTTCCTTTTAATAAGGAAGAAAAATGCAGATATAATAATTACTGTTGCAAACATACACAGTGCACAGAAACTGAGCCTGGATTAGAGTAATTCACTTCCCCAGGACAGAACATAGGTAAGTTACTCATGGGTCACTAATATACTAATATTATCAGGATTGTCTTGTTATGATTTCTTACAAATATGGATATTGATCTAGTACCGATATCCAACTGTGACAGACAAAAACTCTCTAACAGTTTAAAGTTAGAAAGTGTATGTTTATTCGATGCCGGGCAGCCTGCGGGATAGTTCCCAAATACACACTGCACCTTCCAGGTGATTACAGAGTCTTTTTATCCATACAAGTATTGAATACACAAAATACAAATACACATTCATAATTTTTGTACATCCCCTTCCCCGCTTTGTATGCTAATCATTCCAAAAGCTATTAAGCATGCGTAGTTTGTCCCTTGAAATGGGTCGGTGGTCCCTTTCATGGGGAGGGGTCCCAAAATGAGGAAGTAAATTAAGTCTTCTTCGTTCTGACCTTTCTACCTTTTCAATGCAAATATGACAAATGAACTCGTGGTAGAACTCCCATTCCTTGTCTTCAATTGGTTTCGGAACAGAGGAGGCCCACAATTGTCTTATGTTCCTAAAAGCTATTTGTCAGTTTCTATATTCTTCATTATAAACCCAGCTAACTAAACATTGTGCTGACAAGCAATAAATTATTAATTAACTACTAACTCTTAACTTCATCAAGGCCTACTCATTTATTATTATTATTTTAATTACCTCTAGTAAGGCTTATTTCTAACTAAAATCTTAGCTCCTCTAAAATCTCTAAATTCCTTAAAGTTTACGTTTCAGTTACAAAACAAAAAAAATCTCTACCATTATCTTTTTAATTTGTGAATTTCTATCATTCAGTGAGCAGTCCAAAAGGCACTGTTACCTGTCCATGTGCACACAGTCCATTTCACTGAATATGGAAGAGGCCACAGAGTGCAAATGTAGTTGGGGACAGGAGTGGTTGGATGGGGTTTGCAGGAAGGGGGTCTCTGTCACTGCTGCTGGACTCATTTATTCAGCAGGGTCAGTGAATTTTGCAACTGTTGCTACAACTGCTTTCTGAGTAAGATTTTCCACTTTTCCTTTTGAAACAAAACACAGTTCTGAACAACAATCCATTGACTCTCAAACTTCATAAAGCTGAGCACCTATTTTTGCACTAAAGCACACAGGAAAAATAAACTTTGATGGTCTAATTTA